CCTCTTACTGTATATGCTCCATCTTCCCGGAATGACAGAAACTTCAACAACATTCTCTGAATTGATTCTATATTTTTAACGTGGACTTCATAATATAATGGATGCCACACAATTGATCCATTTTCCAATCTGGTCCTGACAAACGCAAAATATAATGTTTTTAAAGTACGTATCTGTTTGAATTCTTTGCTGTTCCTGTAGACAAACCAATAAGCTTTATACGCCTTAGTAACCATGATTTCAATATGGGGAATAAACGTCAATGCAGTATCGAAAGTTATACCAAGATCCAAAACGGAATCTTTTCGTTGTATATATGCACCATTTATATTGTACTGAAAATTAATAGGCGATAATTTGCTAGTAAAGGTTACAACCAAACACTTCGAAAAATTTAAATACAAGCGATTATCCATACACCACTGATATATGTTGTCCACATCTCCTTGAAGGGCAATGCAATCTGACATAGATTTTATAATTTTAAAAATCTAATAGTCGTCTGCAAATAACAGATTTTCAGCTGAGACAAAGTTAGTGATGTCGTTGATAAACAGCAAGAATAACAGCGGTCCCAAATTCGAACCCTGAGGAACACCAGACGTGAGTGAAATTTTCTTGGACTTGTAACAGGGATAACTGACATACTGCTTTCTGTTAAACAAGTATGACCGGAATAATTGGAGTAAAGATCTGGAGAATCCAAAATTCTTTAATTTATCTAAAAGTAGGTAGTGATCAATGTGATCAAACGCTTTCTGAAAATTAAGATAAATGGCGTCGACTTGCTGTTTAGCATGAATTGCCTCACATGTAAATTGACTGAAGCAGGTCAGATTCGTAATTGTGGAACGTCTATTAATGAATCCATACTGCGAAGAACTTATATAGATACAATCTTACATTAGCATAAATATATTTATACAAAATTTTCTCGAATGATTTTGCAAAGTTACACATTAGGGAGATGGGCCGATAGTTCCTTACGTCAGCTGTATCACCTTTTTTAAAACCCGGGCAGATAATTGCAGTTTTGCAGATAGTTAGAAATGTGGATGTCTTAAGCATGAGGTTATAGACATAAAGCAGAGGTTGAACGAAAAGAGAGGCTTCAACAGGAAGCTGGGAATGCCATCAGGACCCATAGTGAGAGAGTTCTTGGAGTTTCTTAGCGCTTCACTAACATCCTCTCCTGAAATTTGTGTAAGAGTAACACAGCTAGACATACTGAAATTGTGTTCACCCCCTTGGGCTTTACTATCAGAGGAAACGTAAACGGAATTGAAATATTGAGCAAATGCATCCACAATAAGGTCTGGACTGTCTACGACGCGATTGTCATAGTGCATAGTACCAGGAATTCTTGACGTACCTCTCCTACTTTGGATAAATCCCCAGAACCGTTTAGGTTCACCTTGGATACTATTCTCAAAATTTAAGACATATTTTTATATGCATTATTTATGATACTATTAGTGTAGAAACGAAGAGCCTTAAACCTTGCATATGATTCAGTGGTTCTAAGTTTTTTATGTTTCTTAAATGCACTCCATTTTTGCCGTACTAAAACTTTAATTTCACCAGTAATCCACGGCGGATAATGACGCTTTGAACTAAGACGAGACTTAGGAAATTTAGGAACAGTCTCTTGAAATATCTCATTCAACAAATCATAAAATGTCTCACATGCTTCATAAAAAAAAATTGATTAGTAAAGAAGGTATCAAAGCAAAGTAATACCTTTTTCTAAGTAATGGTTCAGTGAGTTTTCTCTGACGGATGCGTCGAACACGGGTCGTAACTTAGTAGTACTTGATAATTTTACCACTTGAGGATGAGGTAAATAGTGACCTGAGGTACCAATCTCGCTGTCGTTAACCTCGTCGATTATACCTTGAAAAACTTGGTCGTATTCATTGCAATAGCCATCCTTTTCCAGCTTATTTATGAGATTGTCGAGTCTTTTCTTAGCTAGGTTCAGGTTATCATGTAGTGGTTTGTGTCCCTGAATCCATGGCATTGAGACTTCGTATCTTCCATTCGGTTGTCTCGTCACTGTCTTCTAAAAATTATCAAGGATTTCTTGTTCGTGCTCTTGGTTAGATTTCCGCTCTTCTGGATTTTCAATACCCAAAACATCAAGAGTCCATAAATCTGTCAATTTTGGTGATGTTAACAAAAGTGACAGAGCGACAATGTTGCATGATTTTTGTACATCTGGAGAAGGACTGGCAACTTTACCCACCAGAGTTTAGCCTACATTAGTTTTCATGGCAACTTGTTCACCACCGAAGAGTTTTCCTGCTATATCAGCACCGATTAAGATTTCGATGGGTGCTAGGCTCCTGTCGTTGATTGTGATGTTAATGTCTTGCAGTTCTTTCATCCATGGACCATTTCGTGTACCCAATACATTAGTATAAAAGACTGATTGGTCAATACTTCAAAATGAGTCTAACTTTTATCAGGATTTTCCAAATAGACACGATAGCAATTATGAAAAGTGACTTCAGATGAAAGACCTCCAAACAAACGATGAATAAGTTCTTCTGTTCTAAGGATTTCGTAACTCATTTCTTTGGCTGCTCCGGCTGCTGATATATGACCGGTGTGACCCCGTGTCAATAATTGCTCTTACTGGACGTGTGATATCTTTGCCCTTTAAATTGACCACTAATATCTGTAAAAATCCATCATAATATGTAGCGTTATTTGGAGTGTTGCACAAGCCTTTTGTTTGTGGAGCTTTTGAAGGTTCATCTGACAACTTTTAGGAGATTTCGAACACATCAAGGTTACGTGTTTACCTTCACAGGACTGACACTTTAGTTTGGCAGCTGTTCTACATTTAACGGCTATATGTCCAAATTTAAGCCAGGCATGACAACGTCTTTTTTCCAACAGAATTTCCTTTAGCTCAGTAAGAGATTTCTTCTTAGCTTCTGGGAAGTCGGGGCTGTAGTGTGTTTCGTGGCAAAATAGGCATCGCAGTTTACTCGTATTCTTTGTCAACAATCCTGTAGCTGTAGGAACGTTTTTGGAGAATCTTTGCGTCGTAATTTGTCTCCAAAACCAGAAACGGCCAGAGCTTCTCGTTCTTCGCTTTCAACTTTTTTGCGCAAAAAACTCATGAGTCGATGTAGACGCACCTTTGAACTACCATCATCGTTAAAACATGTTGATCTTTCCCAAATTCTTAGCAAATCTTCTGGAAGGCATGAGTCGACAACCAGTCACGAATGTCACCACCAAATTTTCTAAATTCTATCTGAGGGTACTTTAGTTGGAGTTTAGAGCAACTTTGAGTGCAACACGATGATGTGCTCGGTGTGTTTTTATTATTTACTTTCCTTTTTAGAGCTGAGAAGTTACACATGTACTCATCTATTTTTGTCATCTCAGAATCCAAGTGGACATCTGTAGGGTCTTGATCAAGTAACAAGTCGAGGTATCTCTGATCTAACTGACTAACATTCCGCATTTTTTGTTCGAGAACTTGTATATTGCTTCTTACTTGATTCATGTCTGGATTTTCTTTAGCGAGAAGTTCAATCGTTTTATCGAAAATCTTGGTAAATGAGGTTCTGCGTAGATCCAGGGTTGTTATGATCTTCTCCATGTTTTGAATATTGTCACAAGAGCTCTATCAAAGAGGAAAACGGCTATTCCCCCGGGGCCTCCAATTGATATGGATACGTAATGACGACCTGTTATTACAATATTTCACTAGTAGAGCCTTGTAATAGTGAAGACAAACTCCGGATCATAGAAAAACCTTTTACGTCCATAGATCATTGCTGTAGGTTTAGTAATTTTTTGATTCTACTTTTTTTCATAAAGGATTCTAGTTATGAATTATGTAAAATTGTGCATACGAAGACATTCTTTCTTAGCGATTGCTATAAAATTCATATACATTTTATATGTTATCCTATATTCCATTAAACCGAATTGCCTCCTATAGTATCCTGGTTACTTATGACACAAATACCAATGTGTACGGCGGTGGTAACTGAACTTTATTAGAGAAGTCAACGTAAGTAATAAATTGTGACAACCTAGAGAAATTGTTTCTAACTGTACCTATTTTTTTAACTCTGCTAGTAACAAGAAGGGATAGTTTTCTGTGAAATTGTAGCAGCCTATCGTATATACAATAGTACAGAAGAAAGTTCACCACACTTAACTATTGTTTTAAAAATGAACAATAATTTTTCTCATAAATGTCTAATTTCATGCAAACATTACGTAATTTTTAATTTTTTAACATTGTCCCAGATGTAATCAGTCCGTGATGACGCAACATGCCAAAGTATGCCACGAATTCCGTATCGAATGAATCACAATGGCTGAACTGACCGAAATGACGAGTATTTTTACAACGTTTACCGACGTTCCTATAGCGTAAACCTCATCAATAGGAGTCGGTTTAGTAGGCAGTCATATCGATTCAGCGTTTCGAATTCTCACAAAATCAATTTCCCGCCATTTAAGAAAGCGTAGTATACAAATATGTGTTTACTACGTTAGTAGCGTTCGACACGATAATTATAAAAAACCTAATAAATCACCACGAAAAATCTCAAGCCTTAGGCCTTCTACATGCCAACTTAAGACACACACTGATCCTTAACTCTCTCCACATCACGAGATACATCAATTATTACTCGCGAAATACCAATTTTTGTTGTAATTAGGCACTTGCTCGGTGCGCTTTCACGAAGCATCAAACAGTCGCAGATTTTCTTTGGAAATTTGGGCCTACAATAGAAAGTGCGTTCCCACAATTATTCGGAACCCTGATGACGCAACATGCGGGAGAAACTTTCATAAACCGACCTATTCCAAGTGCGGCTGTTCTGATATTTTCTAAAAATTCTTGCATAAAATGGAGCTAGACCTGTATTCACTTTCCATGGTTGCACAAATGCCGAATTAGCATAATCCACAATAAATGTATTACGTAAGGGACATTGATGGAAAGTTTCCTTTTCTTGCAGTCCTCCACGTTCGCACCCACCTCAACGGCGGCTACCACCAACAGTCGTCGCCGCCGGGATACGGGAACGACAGGCACTCAGGACCACAGTATAGTCCCAACTCGTACCATCATCACAACAACCATGGAGACTCACCTGGGTATCAGTACGGGCGTTTCGACGCCAGCGCCCTTCACATAGCACACGCCCTTAAGCAGACGGAGCTGCAAAAGGCTTATCGGATGAATAGGGAAAAGCCCATCGACTGTTATTTGGTGAGTGACCTGGGAGTAGTGTGGTTAAAAATTTAAAAATTGAAAAAAAGAAAACAATCAATAGGAACACTATTTCCTTCCTTTCGCATAAAACTGCTGTAAACTAGTGTTATTGTAATAAGAAAATCAAGTGAAATAATAGACACAATGCCACACATAAAACATAAGACAAGTCCATAAAGTGGGAAAGCTATTGGTATGCGTTTACTATTACTTATTCACACAATTTTATTGTCCTGAATAACTGCTGACACCAAAGTAACAATAATCTCCGCACTGCGGCAGAGACTACAGCTATTAAACCACGTGGTGACAGGTGACAGAAGAAAACTCATTTCGTTCATTAATGTTGTAGAACATACTCCCACTTGAAGAAATTTGCAGATTGACTGTTATTATCTTTTACATTATTTATGCAACACTAATTTTACTGACAAGTTACTTTCTACATGTGTCAAACGTGAAATAAGCGATCAACGAAGTGGTGACTTCAACAGTAGATTAGAAAAGAAACCCGTCCGAATAAAGAATCGTGTGGAAAATTTCGTAGAAAATGACTAGTGGGCACCCGCATCTGTTTTTGCTTAACAAATTTATGATTAGATACTAGACGTATCCAGTATTGTAAAAGGAGATAACAGCCAATAGAGCCACTTTCTTGATTGCTGTTAATGACTTATAGGTGTCGTAAATACGTGTGCAATAAAATTACAATGAGTTATTCATATGAGATGCTGATGCGTGGTTTTTTACTCGTAAAAGACATTGATTTCATTCGTGTGTATGAGTAGTAGGTTGAACAAAAGAATTATTCGAAACACTGTTTTTATTTGCAAGTAAATATGTATATTGTAAAGAATTTTACTATGAAGCATGAATTTGATTAACTTACCTTAATAAAATATGTCAGGTAAGGAATAACTGTATTTTTATTGTCATTAATAAGTACATCAATTTTTTGCAAGCTTTTAATAGTTATTTATAATAATAATTGTTGTTGTTAATAGAAATCTTTAATGTGCTACTTTGCCTTTATCGTGTAATAAGTACTTAATTAATAAAAAAATTGTGTAGAGAATAATAAAGGTAAAAAAGAAACTACAATTAATTTACATTACCGTTTTTAAATTAAAAATTAACTTGGAAATCTAAGTCATTTCTCGCGTTTGGAAAAATTACCTTTAGAAAGCCATCCATTACTCAGTCCAAATACCAGTTCATTACTCATTAAGTCATTACTTAAACCGTCCCTACTTTTTTTACTATTTATGTAGTACAAAACATGTTATAATATGATGTACTTATATAACAGGTCAAACTGCCTGTTCTCGTTTCAAAACAAGAGTCAAAAGACTTTTTTAAAATTGTTTTCGACATTTTGATTTTCTACGCCAGACTTGGAGATAACACTTCTTGACAGTAATTCTTTCATTGGTCAATGACCTGTTATTTTTTCTATGTGTAGCAAATGTGTTTTAAATTTTAAATATACACAAAAGGAAATCACAAGTTTATGTTTCCACTACATATTTTGAAATACGTATACATATAAATTATGATTTTACAAGGTGAGTCAGTCTGGTATTCGTACCTATTTATCACTGGAATTACCTACTAAAACAAATTTAACTTGTGACATGCCAAATAGTATGATTTGTATTATTTTGTGAGAAAAGTATTGTTTCGTGTGCTATTTACACAGTAACGCTTTGAAATCATCTATTTTCAGACTCGTAGAAAAGTTAATAATGATATACTTAGTACATATTAATAGAGTAATTTCAGTGTCGGATTGTGCCGCTGGGAAACAGTCTACTTATTATAATTTTTTTTTGATACAACACATTTTTCATATATACAAAATGTTACAATTATAAATGCAATAAATTTTTACTTCCAAAGAATTCGACTATAATCACGTACAAGCAACAGCGGCCGCATAAAAGAAAATGAAATTTGATTGATTCTATATCCTTAAAACAGAAGAGTGGACGCACTGATTACTACAGCAAAACAATGGGAAAGTTATTTTGGATGGGGAGCTGTTGGAATTGTAATAAAATTGTAATAAAAATTATTTGCTGTGTGACAGTAATTTCCGAGTAAATGGGGCAAACCGTTCTTGATTTACCAAAAAAAGATGTAAGGAGGATGCGAACGAGATTCGAACCTCATTAGAGCAGCTTATTTGAACGCTTGACAGCTATAACGCAGTTGTTCGGACACGCGAGATATCAGTTATATAGAACACGCAGTGAATATTGAAGAAACATTTTTATAAAATAATTGTCATTAAAACTAAATGCGAATTCGTGAACTACAAATGTAGGAATATATGATTTTATAAAGTTTAAAAATATTTATTGTTACAAATTTTGACGAGATGCATACAATATTTGACAATAAACGGTCCGGTAGTTTCGGAGATTACGTGTCTAATAAAAATGGATACACACATTAGACATACAGACACATAAAAGTGGCCGAAGGTCTGATGGACTAGATTACTTAGCTTTACGGAAGCAAACAGTCAATTATTGTCGTGAACTTTTTTTAATGCATTTTTTTTCGTTTCACCCCAATTTTAAGGTTATTTTTTAAAAAGTTGTGAATTTCTAAAGATTTTGACCATGATTCCAGCGGATCCATATAGAAACCGCCGACTTTTGAGATTTTTCTAAAAAAAATTAGAAAAATTGGTAGAAGGTTATTTCAATAGAACTTCCCTCGCCCCTGAAGTGCAGCCAAATAAATCCCACTGCTCTGAAAAATTATCATTTTTTGCGATTTTTGTTTTCTGATAACCTCTATAAAGTAAAAACCAGTGGCGTAAATAACGTTCCCGCACCTTATTTGACTTGAATTTTTTCTTCAAATTTTATTTTTTTTTGTTCCTTTTGAAGTTTAAATTTATTTTTCAATTGTTCAACATTTCAATTGAATTTCTAGATTTTGCAATTTTTCGATTTGAGTTTCTCGAATATTCAATTTTTTCGTTTCAGTTTTTTATTTTCTTTATTTTTACAACTTTTCAATTTCTCAGTGTTCCGATTTTATAATTTTTTGTTTTTTCAATTGGAAATTTCACGAGATTTCAATTTTTACTTTTTCAATTTTTGGATTTTTCAGTTTTTTACATTAGGAGTACAGTCCAAAATTATTGAATAATAATAGATTGACTTTATGTTTTTTATTATAGCTCTTGTTTTTTGCGGCAAAAAAATGTCGAAAAAAACTAGGTATAATTGTATATAAAGAAAAAAAAAACAAAGATTAAGCCCCACCCACCAGCCCGGATCTCAATTGTGATGAGTTTTTCATTCCTAATCAGACCGAAGGGCGGAGTTTAATTGTAACATCAATATTTCTCTAAAAATTCTACCCTTCTTTTAAAAATATATTTCACGTGGTAATTTCTTGTGGAGAAATGAGGATTTTGCAACTAAACTCCGCCCTTCATCTCACGATGAATAAAATATTCATCACAAATGAGACGGGGTGGGTGGGCGGGGCTTATATTTTGTCCATTTTTTCTTAATATCCGAAGTCTTCTTTTCCCAACAAGAAACTGAAAACATGTTTAATTATCCTGTTGTTGAAAGAAAATTCTATGTATTAAAAAAAAATAAGCCCCACCCACCCGCCCCGATGTCAATTGTGATGAATTTTTTATTCGTTGTTAGACCGAGGGGCGGAGCATAATTGCAAAATACATATTTCTCTATTGATTTGAATGATTTGGTCTTCTCAAGACAGAGGACTAAAATTATTAATTAAACCACAATCGATTAAAATGTTATATATCTCGTGGTGGTAATATAAAGTTATTATACCGTGTGATTTTTTTGCGAAAATTTGCACGTTAAGCAAAAAAACTGAAAGCGGATTCGTATACTACAAGTACAGGAGTATATTTTTGTATAACATTCTACTCATTTTAAAATACGGTTCATTGAAATGACGTCACCATTGGTGGGGATGATTAGCCAAATTTTGGCTAGTATTTAACATACATACAAAATTTGACAACAATCGGTCCAGCAGTTTCAAGGATTACGTGGCTAATAAAAATGGACACAGACAGACAGACAGACAGACCGACAGATAGACAGACAGACGGAAATGGGAGACTACTTTTTTCGTATTGAAGGGGTCATGAAACGTCGAGAAAACATAAACGTGGTAATTCGTTAGATAGATTCGATTACTATACTTCGTTAGCTTACGATCGGGAAGTAAAAAACATTTTAATGTAAAAATTTGTCTGTTTTCTTAAAAAAATGATAAAACTCCTTACAATAAATGAAAAAACAAAATGTGGAGTGAAACGTACCATTTTACTTACTACATACTAATTTGCCTCTTTTCTTTGGTATTATATTTAATTTTATTTTATTCCTGCATTTGTGATTCATGAATTCGTGTGGAGTTTTCACCCTAGATATCCAGAAAAAAAATTGTATAATAGTTTAACTTTGAAATTGTAAAACCGAATGCTCCGAAAACTTGCAAGCTTTTTAATATTAGTAATAACGTCTTCTGTCAAGTGGGAGTGGCACTAGTAATAAAACCTAGGATTTTAAACATTCCTGTGAATATATAAAAACCACGAAGTACATTTTTAAAATAATTGTATTTTGTGAAACAAAAATTAATAAAAATGTTCCTTTTTATCTGCAAAAAATGTATACTGAGCGATTTTGACGCCACTGTAAAAATTGCTATATTTCAATTAGCGATTTTCGAAAAACGGTAGGAATTTCTTAAGAAATGAAGCCGAAAATGACATCTGGATATCGAAAGCTAGAAAAAAATGTATTGAACTATTTTCAAAAGTAGTTGAAAAATGGAAAATGTTAAAAGTGCCAAAATCAGTCTTACCTTATCAGATACTAGCCCCGCCCACCCCCCCTCTTCTCATTCTCACGACTAATTTTATTTATGTTCAGTTGAAGATCATTCATTTCAATCAGATCAGATAAAATTAATCACTGAAATGA